CTTCAGAGCCGGACTCACGGAAAGAAGACGCCTAATTTGTCAGTGATTAATGTTCATCTCTTGATTTACGGACAAAATAGCGAAATAAAAACACCAGGATCATGTAGAGCGGGTTAATACGAACATTTTAAGACCAAAACGTCAATGTAAAGTGAATTAGAGTCAAAAGTCGATGGAGCCAGTAACGTGCCCATGTTTACTTCCTACAAGGAACATAGTAAAATATTTTTTGTAAAAGGTCCTATATTACACAAAATAGACTATTGTGAAAAAAATGACTGGGTAAAAAGTACTAATAGTGGTAGTAGTAGTTGTAGTAGAAGTAGTAAAATCACAACTTTAATAATCTTAAAGGTGCACTGTGTAACTTTTTGGTTCCGTCACCTGCTTGTTTCTATGGATATGTTAAAGCTCTACCTGGAATGCTCCACAGTATGACATTAAATAGCACTACTTTACATTTATTCAATTACAGGTGGTTTTATAGCTCAAAAATACCTAAAAAAAAAAAAGATTTTGACAGTCATCATCTTTGAGGAGAAAAGCATTTGCCAGAAAAAAATGACTGGGTAAAAAGTAGTAGTAGTAGTAGTAGTAGTAGTAGCAGTAGTAGTAGTAGTAGTAGTAGTAGTAGTAGTAGTAGTAGTAGTTGTTGTAGTACTAGTAGTAGTAGTAGTAGTAGTAGTAGTAGTAGTTGTTGTAGTACTAGTAGTAGTAGTAAAATCACAACTATATCAATCTTAAAGGTGCACTATGTAACTTTTTGGTTCCGTCACCTGCTTGTTTCTATGGAGGTATCATTGCTCTGTCTGGAATGTTCCACAGTATGACATTAAACAGCTCTACTTTACATTTAATCAATTACAAGTGGTTTTATAGCTCAAAAATACCAAACAAACAAAACAAAAAAACAGGCATTCTGACTATCAGCGGGTCGCCTCTCCACAGATCTGACCTGTAACTTGGTCTGACTTGGTTTCCATGAAGATAGAAAGGTTTGATGCCATACTGCGAAACATTCCAGACAAAGCAATAACATCTCCATGGAGAAAAGTGTTTCATGGGGAAAAAAACTACTGGGTAAAAGGTAGTAGTAATAGTATTAGTATTAGTATTAGTAATAGTAATAGTAATAGTAAGTAGTAGTAGTAGTAGTAGTAGTAGTAGTAGTAGTAGTAGTAGTAGTAGTAGTAGTAGTAGTAATAGTAGTAGTAGTAGTAGTAGTATAGTAGTAGTAGTAATAGTAATAGTATAGTAATAGTAGTATAGTAGTAATAGTATAGTAGTAGTAGTAGTAGTAGTAGTAGTAGTAGTAGTAGTAGTAGTAGTAGTAGTAATAGTAGTAGTATAGTAATAGTAATAGTAGTAATAGTAGTAAGTAGTAGTAGTAGTAGTAAGTAGTAGTAGTAGTAATAGTAGTAGTAGTAGTAGTAGTAGTAGTAGTAGTAGTAGTAGTAGTAGTAGTAGTAGTAGTAGTAAGTAGTAATAGTAACAGTAGTAAGTAGTAGTAGTAGTAGTAGTAGTAGTAGTAGTAGTAGTAGTAGTAGTAGTAAGTAGTAGTAGTAGTAGTAGTAGTAGTAGTAGTAGTAGTAGTAGTAGTAGTAGTAGTAGTAATAGTAAGTAGTAGTAATAGTAATAGTAGTAGTAGTATAGTAGTAGTAGTAGTAGTAGTAGTAGTAGTAGTAGTAGTAGTAGTAGTAAGTAGTAGTAGTATAGTAGTAGTAGTAGTAGTAGTAGTAGTAGTAGTAGTAGTAGTAGTAGTAGTAGTAGTAGTAGTAGTATAGTAAGTAGTAATAGTAATAGTAGTAATAGTAGTATAGTATAGTAGTAGTAGTAGTAGTAGTAGTAGTAAGTAGTAGTAGTAGTAGTAATAGTAATAGTAAGTAGTAATAGTAGTAGTAGTAGTAGTAGTAGTAGTAATAGTAGTAATAATAGTAGTAGTAATAGTAGTATAGTAGTATAGTAATAGTAATAGTAGTAGTAGTAGTAGTAGTAGTAGTAGTAGTAGTTGTTGTTGTAGTTGTAGTTGTAGTTGTAGTTGTAGTTGTAGTTGTTGTTGTTGTTGTTGTTGTTGTTGTTGTTGTAAAATCACAACTATAACAATCTTAAAATGTCTCTTTCCATCTTTTTTGCTACTTATTTAGAATTTATTAGTACCATTTATATACATTTTCTCTTTGTTATCATATTATATTGTGATGTGTGAGCTACTGTGTCCAAATATAATTAACAAATAAATAAATATTTTCCCTTGTGGATGAATAATGTTTGTTTATGTCTAAGTCTAAAAGGTGGTTTTATAGCTCAAAAATAATAATAAAAAAAAAAAGGTAGTAGTAGTAGTAGTAGTAGTAGTAAAAGCACGACTATAATAATCTTAAAGGTGAACGTTGTAATTTTTTGGTTCCATCACTTGCTTGTTTTTATAGATATGTTATAGCTCTCCCTGGAATGTTCCACAGTATGACATTAAAAATTACATTTATTCAATTACAAGTGGCTTTATAGCTCAAAAATACCTAGAAAAACGGGTATTCTGACCGTGAGTGGGGTCGCCTCTCCACAGATCTGACCTGTAACTTGATCTGGTTTGGTCTCCATGAAAATAGAAATGTTTAATGCCATACTGCGGAACATTCCAGACCAAGCAATAACATCTCCATGGAGAAAAGCATTTGACGGACCCTCCAATGCACTTTTAACTGTGTTTTTGTCCAATGACGCGTAAGTGCACCCTGGAATGTTCCGCAATATGGCATTATACAAATCTCAATCGTATTTTGAGTTTAGACTTTTAAAATTATTAGTAAAATTTATTGTATTTACTTTTTTTTAACCAAGAACAACAACAAAAAAAAGATTAAAAACTAACCAAGTATCTCTGGTCCCGCTGTAGGAATCTAACATTCGCCGAAGCCCCGCCCACTGCCGCATGTCACTGTGATGAAAGGACGCCGGATCAGACCATCTGCGCTCTTGACCGCCTCTGCCCTCACCCCCGTGACCCCCGTGACCCCCGCGACCCCTCTGACCTCTGGACTTCATCCTCCTGCCTCCGCTGCACGCACTTACATCCACTTCATTTAGTCGTGTACCAGATGGACGATACGCGGAGAGAAGTGTCCGGCTCCTGACGTCCGCGCTCTGTCCGGGGAGTACATCCTTGTGTGTGTGTTGTTTTTTTTTTTTTTTTTACCGTGGCTGTTGTCATGGTGATAAGGGGTCAGAGATCAGTGGGTTTGTTACATAACCTTTCTGAGTTATTGAGATGTAGGAGTTGAAGGGATCATTGACAGTCGTAAAAATGGGGTTTGGTAACTCAATGACGATTGTGTTTAGCAATGGGAGTGAATAAATCAAAATTATACAAGAGGAAATCTAGTTAATCGCAAAATACACTGTTTGGACACACTTTCTCATTCATTTTCTTTCTGTCTTTGTAATTTTTTTATACGGAGGACCTCAAATATATGATGTAAAATGTGTAGAATTAAGAAAATTTAAGTTAAATGTCTCTTAACTTTTTATATTTTCAATTCAAATTCTTCAAAGCAGCCACCCTTTGCTTTGTCGACAGCGCTGCAAACTTTCGGCCAGGATTCCCACTCTTTTTCACTAACAAAACTTCTAAACTTTTCCATGACTTTTTCATGACCTAAAGTGAATTTTCCATGACTTTATGGCACCTAGAACTGATCATGCTTTTAGGGTTAAAAAGGAAATGTTAACCCTTTCCACTAGGGATGTAACGGTATCCAAATCTCACGGTACGATATTATCACGATATGCATCTCACGGTACGATATTTGTTGAGATATTTTGAAGAGGCTGATATAATTGTAGATGGGACACTTTTTTGCTTTTAAAATACCTTGACGAGATTTCGGTGTGAATTATTTCCACCATAATCCCAAGAATTCAAGTTAAAAACATATTTCTTCATGTTGTTTGCACTGAAATGAATCATGGGATATGTAGTTTCTGATGTTTATAAGCTGTTGCAACTATAAAACCATGCATTTAAGCAAAGAAACTTGTAATTCCATGCACTGTGGCAGTCCACGATATTGTTGCGAGACTTTTGACGATACGATATCACAATATTTCGGTTATTGTTACACCCCTGCTTTCCACTCACCTTATGGTTTGGTATTATAGTTTTTTAACATTCAAAATCCTGACAGTGCATTTATTGTCGTCTTTTTTAATCAAAAGTTCAGACATTCAGAAATAATCATAATAGTCTAATGAGAACTTAACAGAATGCTGTAACTGCATGAAAGAGATACTAAAATTCCATGACTTTTCCAAAACTTTCATTGAATTCCATGACTTTTCTATTGACCTGGAAAGTGACATTTTCAATTTACATGAGTTTTCCAGGATTTCCATGATCATGGGAACCCTGCTTGGCCTTCTCTCAATAATCTTGTTGATGACATCTCCTGAAATGTTTTTTCTTCACAGCTGTGCCACGTCAGGGTCAAGAAATACCAAAAATGCAGAGCAGTGACCGAAACAAAAAGGTTACCATTTTTAAAGCTCTAAAATCTCAAACAAACTGAGTGTTTCGAGTTTTGTTTACTACTTTCCATGTGTTTGTTCATACTTTTGATACATTCAGTGAGAATCTACAATGTAAATAGTCAAGATATTTAAATTTTTTGACTATTTACACTGCAGATTAAAATAAAGACAACACAAATGTGAAAAAGTGTGGCCAAACTTTTGACTGGTAGTTTAATTTTAAATGGAGGGTATTATGCAAACTTGATTCTTTTTCTTTTTATAATGTTGTTCCCTCATCGAAAAGAGGCCTGAAGAGGTTTTAGATGTCATGGTTTAGTATTTTAGTTATATAACAGGCTCAAGCACAGTGTATCTTTTTTAAACAACCAGAACATTCTCAATTTGTGAATTTTATTTTTGTTACTATGAGAAGAACTTTTACATTTTTTTTTTTCTGACTCTGAGGGCCACATTCTGTAGATGTTGCGTACCTTTGGGTTCCAGGATCGCGTCTGTCTCCGCAGCAGCTTGAGGGCGCTGGTGTACTCGGCCTGGATCCTCCTGGCAGGAACCAGCAAGTCCCCGTCCGCTTTGGTGACCACCACCAGGTCGGCTCTCTCTATGATGCCCCTCTTGATACCCTGGCATCACAGAGGGAGGGGGCATTAAGTCCCGAAGATCCACTGTAAATAAATCTGATGTCTAGACGTCTAATCTGCTGAGTGATCTGGATACACAGTGATGTGGGGACACGAGGCGGGCGCTGCCAACCTGGACGCAACTCAAGAAACTGTGCGGAAACTCCAACTTTTAACAAATGGACTGGAGAAAACACAAGGCAATGTCTCACAGTCTCATTCCTCTTCATGCCACCAAACTCGAATCACCATACTGGCATGCCGTATAAATAATGATAAAATAATAAATATCGATGGCAAAATAATTAATAGATATATAAATACATACATGAATAAATTAATAAATAAATTTTAAAAATGTAAATGTAAAAATAATAATAATAATTAAAGAAAAAAAAATTTAAAAAATGGAAAAGAGCTGTTTATTTGCCTCTTAAAAACCCCTGAAGTAATACAAAAATATTTCCTAATAATTTCTAGTGAAAAAAAAAAAAGTATATAATAAGAAAAAAAAATTCTTACATAAATAAATAAATGAATTAATTGATAAAAATACTATAAATAAAATACATTTAAATAGAATTAATTAAAAACTATAAAAGAACA